TGCCTCTGCCTCCCGAGTGCTGAGATTAAAGGCGTGTGCCACCACGCCCAGCCTGCATTAGATATTTTGTCTATGGACTTTAACCTAAGTAATGTTTTTATATTTCTGGTTAAATTATTTTAAGAATTACAATGTTTACTTATATATATATTTAAAAAAAAACTGTGACCAGAAGAGGGCGTCAGATCCCTTGGAACTAGAGTTCTGGATGGCCATTGGCCACCATGTGGGGTGCTGGGATTTGAACCTGGGTCTTCTGCAGGAGCAGTCAGTGCTGTTAATTGCTGAGCCATCTCTCCAGTCCTGTTTACTTATGTTTTAATTTGAGAAAATATTCTTGTTATAGTTCTGTTCTTTAACTGTTACATCATTTGAAATTATCTAGATGCTATTCACATGTTATGTTTTCATTTAAGAGTCTAATAATGACTGTGAAGAGTCTAATAATGACTGTGATGCATACCACTTTTCATTGAAGTAATATTTAATAATAAAATTAAAATGAACTATTCACATGTTATGTTTTCATTTAAGAGTCTAATAATGACTGTGAAGATAATCCAACTCGGAGCAGAGGGTTTTCCAAGAGAGGCGGTAAGGACAATGCTTTGGAACAATTTGAATGTAAGACAAAAATATTAACTAGGCAAAACTGGTCTTAGAAGGGCTGAAAGAAAGAATTCTGGTAATGAAAACTTTTGAAGAAAAATACCTTGGCATATGCTTTCTGATTTTAATACTCGAGTCATACTTTATGATTTTTGCTATAGAGTCCTTCAAGGTCTTCCACATTTGAGTTCTTGGTATTTTGTGATGCATACCACTTTTCATTGAAGTAATATTTAATAATAAAATTAAAATGAACCATTTGAAGTGCATAGGTCAGTTGCTTTAACACCACATTTTGTTTATTCTTCAGCTGATGTTATGTTTGGGCTTTTCTCACTTTGGATTACTATGACTACTTTCTGCACAACTTTTTATGTGAACATAAATTTTCATCTTCTAGAGTATATGCCTAGGATTGGAACTGCTTGTGTTTTACCTTTTAAAGAACTATCATTTTTTTTCATAGCAGTTGTGTTATTTTACATTCCCACCCTCAGTGTACAAGGGTTCTGGTTTCTCCACGTCCTCACCAATACTAGTTATTGTCTGGGTTTTTAGTATGATCATCTTAGTATTAAGTAGCATCTTACTGTGCTTTTGATTTGCATTTTACTTATTTTAAAAATCTTTTTTGTCTTGTTGAGACAGGGTCTTCCTGTAGCCCCAGCTGGCCTGGAACTCACTGCATAGACCAGACTGGCTTTGAACTCAGAGATCCACCTGGCCCTGCCTTCCAAGTACTGGGATTAAAGGCTACCATGCCAGACTTATTTTTATTTTTTTTGTGTATTTTGTGGAGGTGTGCACATGCCATTGTACACTCAAGGAATAACTTGGTAGGAGTTGGTTTTCTCCTCCTCTCCTTTGGGGATTGGGGATCAAACTCAGGTTTGCTTGTGGCAAGTGTCTTGACGTGTTGAACATCTCTCTTGGCCTCTTGATTTGCATTTTATGACAACTTTGATACTGAGCAGCTTTTCATATCCTTATTGGCCATTTGTATGGAGAAGTACCTGTTTGGAATCTTTGCCCACTTAAAAATTGTCATTTAAAAATTCCTCTTTAGAATTTAGAATTCTGACATGTGGAGGTCAGACAACATGTACTTCATGTGGGTTCCAGGGATGGAACTCAGGACATCAGACTTGGTGGCAAGGGCCTTTATCCACTGATCCTTCTCACTGCCCCCGTAGTCATTTTAAAAATCATTTTATGTAGTCTTGACATGAATGTCATCAGATAAATGATTTACATATATTTCCTAAACTTCTTTTAGGTTGTTTTCACTTTATAAAATTTATTTTTAGTTATGTGTATATGTTTGTGCATGTGAGTGAGGTGCCTATAGAAGCCAGAAGTGTCGGATCCCCCAGGAGCTGGGGTTAGAGGTAGTTGTGAGCTTCCTGAAGGATTTCTGAAAACTGAACTTGGGTCCTCTGAAAGAGTAGAATGTGCTGCTAACCACTGAGCCATCTCTCCAGCCCGGTCCTCACTTCCTTCTGAAGTACCAAAGTTTGAAACTTCTATGTAACCGGTTTATTTTTACTCTTTTTAAAAAGGACAGAGTCTTGTTAACTAGTGCAAGCTGATCTTGAGCTTGTGATCCTAGCTCCACTTTCTGACTACTGGGATTAAAGGTGTGCATCTGATGTGTTGTTTATACTTTAGATGCCATATCTAGAAAACTTTGTTGCTTATGTAAAGTCATGCAGATTTTTCTCTATGTTTCCCTGCCAAGAATTTTGTGGTTTTAGCTTTTTAAAGTCTTTGATTCATTTTTTTTAGTTGATTTTTGTATATGGTGTGAGATGTGAGTCCAATTTAATTGTTTAGCCTGTGGTTATCTGGTTGTCCCAGCATCATTTGTGTTTGTTTTATATTGTTATATTACATGTGGATCTCATTGGGTTCATCCTACTTTTGTTGAGCTTTGTGGCTGTGTAGGAAATTTTCATCAAATTTGGGAACTTGTTGGTGGTTGTTTTGTGGAAATAGCTACCATTTTAGATTTTAGACATTTTTGAGTGTGTGATTCATAGCATTTAATATGTGAAAGCATCACTACCTGAACAGAAGCCCTGTCTGTACCTATTAGGCAATAATGTCTTGAACTCAGAATGTGGTAATCTCTCTATATTTATTTGCCATTCTCTTCGAATTTGCCTGCTTTAAGTATTTTCTTCAGGAGGAATAGTATTTGCTGTGCCTTGTCTAGCTTATTTTAACACCACATTTTCAAAGTTCATCCATATTTTAGAATGCATAAGATGTGTATCCTGTTCTGTTTTTGAATAATATTCCATTGTATATATGCATCACCTTTTGCTTATCTATTGATGGGATGCTTAGGTTGTTTCCTCTTTTTAGCTATTAAAAACGTTTTGTGAACATTGACCCTATAGTTACCTGTTATGAGTTAATATTTTTTAAAAAAAGTTTTAATAATATAATCAGGACTTGGAATTGCTAAGGAGGTGGACCTGGGGTAAGTTAAAATGCCACAGAATTTGGTGTTTTTATCAATCATCAGTTTTTTTAAATGTTGCTTGGATTGCTACTAATCTTTGATTTTCAGAGTTTGGATAAAAATTAATTCTGACAGTTTTTGTCCATTTTTTTCTTGTCTTTTTGGAGCAACACTTCTTTGCCATTTTTGGTGATATCAATAGTGCATATCTTTCAAAATTTTTCACTTTGATAGTGTAAAAGACATACTTGAGTTTTGTGTATTGGAGGTTTTATGGGCTCCGTAATAAAGTGATTTCCTGGTCAACAGAAAGAGTTGGAAGTATAGAATATGTTCTATATGAGTCTGTAACAAAATTGTCTGTGTATGTACATAGCATTAAAATAAGTATATATTCATAGTAATATTAAACACAGGGAAATATAAAGTAGTACAGGATATTGGCTAAGTTAATGGGAGAGAGATGCTTAGGAAGGAGAAAAACAAGGCAAAAGAAACTCATGGCTGCAGTTATATTCAGAAAATTTTAGTTCTAAGCTGGATGGTAGGGGCATAGATTTTAATTTTATTATGTTTTATATTTGGGTATATATTTTTATGTCTTATCGACTACCTTCATTAAAGTAATTTTTGCTTAGAAATAAAGAGAAGTCCAAAAAATAATTTTTAAGAGATTTAAGTTGACAGGCCTTTTTTTTAAAGGTAAAGAGGCACAGATAATTAGAATTATTAAACGGGTATGACTGTTAATATACACATTATTAACAGATCTAGGAGTGTATTAGTTGATAGGCACATAAATATTAATCTACTTTGGATTTTTTGGGTGGTGCTGAGGATAAAATTATGCCAGGTAAGTGTTCTATTACTGAGCTACATCTCCAGCCCATGAGTGTACTTTGAATTAGTTCTGTCTCATTTTATAAGCAGGATTCTAAAATATACACAGTCAAGAAGTAGAACATCTAGGACTTTTGCTTTTATCAATCGTATTTAGGTATAAAATCTTACAAATGCATAAACTAAACATTAGTTTATTTTCTGTGTAGTTGGCATTTTGGTTTGGAAATTACCTGATTTTTGCATTAGGTAGAGTCAATTTTTACTTGTAATTTGTAACAGAAAATGAGACTTACCATGTTCCTACCTCCCTGGGCTTTTGCTAAGGTGTATATTATTTCCTGTAGGGGGCAAGTATAAACTTTGACCTATTTAATACTTTTGGAGAGTGTAGAAATTTAGCTAACGGTGCAGTTGTGGCAACTTGGTGTTTTATTCAAGCACCACTCTTCGTTTACTCAGTTTTGATTCTTCAAGCAGTGCTTTTTTTCTGGTCATAATATATTGGTAAAGTAGAACATTTGTAGGTCAATCATGGGTTTTCTTTTTAGTAACTTTCTGTTAATTCTTTAAAGTATTCACTTAAAGCCATTTAACTATAAAAAGCTTAAATTTAATTTAGTTACCATGTCTCCAAGATTTATTTGTTGTTATTTTGTACTGTTGTGTGTGTTTTAATATTATAGGCTATCAAGATGGAAATGATTCAGAAGCTTCAGGGCCATTCAGAAGAGGTGGAAGAGGTAGTTTCCGAGGTTGCCGTGGAGGATTTGGTCTAGGAAGACCAAGTTAGTAGTGGATTGTATAAGATGTGCTTCATTTGTTAAGAAGGAAATGCTTTCTAAAAACCCTATCACATAAAGTTGTCATGAGTATTATATGAGAATATTTTAGTACAGGGGCAGGCACAAATTAATCACCCACATTATATTTGACATTATTTTTAGACACTTCAGTAATTGCATAATAAGTTGGAACATGTGAATATTGTCAGAAGTTTGTACTATCAGATCTTTAGCATTACATACTGCTAACTGCTTTGGAGCCTTAGAACTATGGCTGACCTTATAAATAGGAAGTCTTCTTTTTTAAAAAAATATTTATTTTTATGCGTGTGTATTGCCTGCATGTAGGTAAGTGCACCCGTGTTGGGCAATGCCTGCGGAAGACAGAAGAGGCTGTTGGATCCCCTGGAACTGAAGTTCCATGTGTGTTAGCTGCACATGTGGGTGCTGGGATTCAAACCCGGGTCTTCTGCAAGAATAGTCAGTGTTCTTAACGGCTGAGCCATCTCATCTCTCCAGCCCCATAAACAGGAAGTCTTCTAAATGGCTCTACCTTTCAACATACATTCTTTTTAACCAACATGGCTTTCTATAGACATCGTTTTCTAGACTAAAAGTGGTGTATTCAGAAGTCACTGTTGGATTGCATGTGTCTCAATAGAGGAAAGATTAGTGATTTGGAAGATATAACATTGATAAATTTGGAAAGATTTAACAAAAAGGCAAAAAATTTTAAAAAAGCAAAGGCGTCTATCTGCAGGGTCTTTGTGGGCTGATAACATCCAGTTTGGCAAGAGTGGATGATATTTCGGTGAACAAGCAGTAAAATGATACAGTTTGGTTTCTAAGCACATTAAAAGTGCATTTTGGGGGGAGGAGACTTTTGCTTGGGCATAACATTGACCCTAATTTATTCATAAAATATTTTTGAGGAAGTTGTTTGTAATTGATGTACATAATTTGTAGAGAAATCTTTTGTATGAAACTTAGAAAAATACTCATCATAATTGTTAAACTATTTCACACCACCTTTTTCAATTTCTGATACCATGCCATGACTTTGACTTTTTTGTCTTTGCTGACTGATTATAAAAAATTGTTAAAAGTAACAATCAAATTCTGTTTCTTTCAAATACAGATAGTGAATATGACCAAGATGAGGAGACACAGCGTAGTAGCAGCCTTTTTGGTTCTAGAAGACCAGCAGTAAGTACTGCAGGTGAGAACTACTACTTAGGGTTAATATTCATATATGCTTTAAGCAGGAATACATGTTTAAGTCACTAAGCTGGCTCATGATTTTCCCTGCCATTTTAGTTACGTAGGAAAATTTTGCCTCCCCCGGAAAAAATATGTGCCCTGTGCATTATTCTATGGTGATTGACAGTTGGAGTTGTGAATTGTTACTTTTAATTGGAGGAAGGAAAATAATGCATGTTCTGGTTTCAAAGAAAGTGTTCTGAGTTAGGAGAAAATGTGTGTGATTTAAGGTGAAATGAAAACAAATCCGTACAATTACAAGTGAAAAATGTCCCAATAAAGATAAAGTTTAAATGAAATCTAGAAAAAAAAGTTATGAGACAGGAATTCTGAGTAATTAATTAGTCTGTATTGAGTACAAATAGCTATGCACCATATGTATTTGAGGGGAAGGGGAAACTATGTTTTCTTTTAATGCTTTGCAAAACAATGCCTTACAGATAATGGTAACACCTATCAAAGCAGAGGTGGTAGTGGAAGTGGACGAGGTAAGTTACTTGATTTTCCTGTCAGATTAAAAGTATTATGATCTAAGTTTATGCTTTAAGTTACAAATAACTGTCATTGCTTTTTTTATACCAGAGAGGTAAGTTACTTGATTTTCCTGTCAGATTAAAAGTATTATGATCTAAGTTTATGCTTTAAGTTACAAATAACTGTCATTGCTTTTTTTATACCAGAGACGTATGAATTTTACATGGCATATATTGGGGAGTTTCTTAATATTTTCCAGGTTATTTTCTTTTTGATCCAACAGCTTTTTTGTTAATACTTAAATACTGTAGAAATATTTGCAAACACCTGTACAAGGATGTTCACTGAGTTTTCCTTTATAATAAGTAAAAACTGAAAATTACCTAAAATTCATCAATAAATAACTATTCAAAATAACCACAAAGCGGGATACTGTGCAGATGTTAAATATTGAGTTATATGTATAAATTATTAAAATACACTTTCCATATGGTCTAATAATAAAGGAAAACTAAAATTAGTGCAATATATGAGACTCTTTATTCTGAAAATCTTTTATTTTCTCCAGAGTATAAATATCTTAGTATTGTCTGAAAGTTAAAATGCTTTGTTGAGTAATAAATAAAGTTTGTTTTCTTCAAAATCATTAGTCTGAGAACATTCAAAGTAGTAACTTCTATGCCCCTTGCTTCTTATATTCTTCAATATAGAAAAAGTTTATTAAGACCACTAAACCCACAAATGTGGACATCTTGTCTGAAGAAGGATTTCAAGACCTGTTTTTATACAGAAGGAAATTAGAGAGCTCACATATAACAATCATATCTGTGTAACTTTTGAGTTGAATATAGTCAAAGTCCCTAAAAGTGGCACAATAGATAACTAGTTATCTAAAAATCAGAAATATGAGCTTATAGAAAAGAACAGGTCAAATTGGTTTTCAGTTAAAGTTAATAAGTGACATAGAAATTTCCGTTGACAAGTTGATTTCTGGCTAGTGTATATTAATGAGAGTTTTCTAGAGAGGCAGTATTAATAAGGGATATGTGCATGTATTGATGGCAAGGAATTTATTAAGGGTACTGGATCACATGATTATGAATACTGAGAGTCTCTAAGGAGGACTTCTTCAGGAATACTGTAGCATGGCTCAGGGCAACTTTCAATGCCTCTAAACCAGCAAAGCCAGTGGTGTATCACAGTCTGAGACCAAAGGCGTGAGAATCGGAGTGAGAGGCAAGTTCAAGAGAATTTACAGTTCTAATGCCCAAGAGTAAGAGAATGAAGCTATAGTAGCAAAAGAGAGAATCTGTTTTTCCTCTACCTTTTTGTTTTATAGGTCCTCAGCAGAATGTAAGTCATTTGCCTGTGTCGGGTTAAGGGAAGATTATCCTTCCTATTCATTGATTCAAATGAGTGTCTTCTGGAAGCACTCTCATAGATGTACCAAGTCACAAGATTTTTCAGTTATTTTTTGTGTGATGGTTAAAACTATCAACTTTACAAGACCTAGAATTACCTAGGAGACAAATCTCTCCCATGTCTTTGAAGAATTTTTTAGATTGGGTTAATTGAGGTGGGAAGACCATTCCAGGCCAGTGTCCTCGAGTGAGAAAGGATAAAGTGAGCTTAGCAGCAGAATTCATTACACTCTGCTTTCTGATTGTGGACTCAGCATGACTATCTGTCTCAAGCTACTGCTGCTACGACTTCTTTGTAATAATGGACTGTACTCTGGAACTAGCAATGTGTAGCATGGTCAGAATCCCTGAAGGAAAATCCTGAGTGACCACTGCGTAAAGCTGTGAGGCCCAAGTTGCATTGGTGACCCCAAGGATATGGAAGATGCCAGAACCATGGATCTACTGAGGAAAACTGTAGGCATGGAATGGACCTGGCCCAAGAGACAGGCTATGTGTGCTGCCGGCAGAATGCTGGAAGACAAAGGCTCTACCCAAGCCTTTGGAGTCCAGATGATTCTAGCACATGCAGTCAGATGCCAGACATGGTGTTGGAGGTTTTGATGTTTACCCTGCTGGGTTTTGGTCTTGGCTTTGCATGGCTTAATATTTCCTCATTCTGCTTGGATTTCCATAATCCTTTTGGAATGGGGATATTTATTCTGTGCCATGGTATATTGGAAGCATGTAATTTGTTTTTTGATTATGCAGAGGCACATAGTTAAGAGATTGCCTGAGTCTCAGAAGAGACTCTGCATTTACACTCTTAAAGTGTTGGAGCTATTAAAGACTGTGGACTTCTGAAATTGCAGTGAATTTTACATTATGATTTGCCCGTGAACCTATAGGGACAAGGGATATAATATGGCTTAAAAGTGGTATATTTAAGTATCAAGTTGGCAAGGGATAGACTTCAACAAAATATAGAATCACCTAGGAGTTAAGCCTCTAGCATGTCTATGATGAATTTTCTAGATTAGGTTAATTGAGGTGGGAAGACTCATGCTGAATATTTGCAATACTATTCTATGGATTATGGTCCTAGACAGAATAAAAAAGGAGAAAGTGAGCCACACACCAGCATTCCTTGCTGTCTCCTTCCTGACTGCTGATATATTATGACCATCTGCATCAAGCTTCTGCTGCTGTGGCTTCCTAGACTGTGATGGACTGTACCTTGGGAGTTATGAGCCAAAGTAAATCTGTTTTTCCTTAAGTTGCCTTTTATCAGATATTTTGTCACAAGAAAAATGCCTTAATCTAGTCAGGTTGATCCCTAAACTTAATTGTTATAGCTACTTCTAAGAACTTGAACTTGGGAAGGATTTCCGTTGATAAGAGTATTTCATTATGCTTGAATTATTTATATATGATGGTTTATACTAAAACTTGCTTTTATGTGAGGGTGTTGGATTTTATTATGGTATGGTGCTAGGCAGAAGATGCATAAGTTGTCAGCCTCTAATGAAAATTCTGGGTATGAGTCTATGAACTGCTTTGGTATATAGCATTTACTTGTGCTGTCACAACTCTTAACTCCAGAAGGAGAAGACTCTGGGAAACCTAAATCTTGTTTTCTGTCAGTTCCTTTTCTCTTGGCTGAGTTTGCTCCATGTTATTTCACTTCTGTATACGCTAGCCATGAGTCCTCCTAGCAAATCATTCAAGTTGGGGATGTGGTCTTAGGGACTCTCTAACACAAAGTGACAATCAGTAATATTAAATAATCTACATAAAATCATCATTTTGAGAGGATCCGCAGGCCTCTTTCCGACCTGGAGGATTCTCTCACCGGGGTAAGTCGATTGGGCCCTCGGTGCCTTGACTCCCTGCCTCACTCACCCTCCCATCTACCCCACCAGTCTCTCCTCTTAGCTGGGTCCTGTCCCATTCCTTGTCTTGGCGACTCAGGCACCTGGGGAACCACCACTGCTTCTTCCTGATCCTATGCATCCAGTTCTTCTCAGGTTGCCAGGAGCACTGCTTCTGGACATAGCCCTGCCCTCACCTCCCTCTGCTTCCCTGGGCCTGCAGGACCCACAGGCCTCTCTCCAACCCACAGGCTTCTCTCTCCTGGGTAAGTCCATTGGGCCCTCCAGGTGCCTTGACTCCCCCAGCCTCATTCGACCCTCCCATCTCCCTTCCTAGCCTGGGTCTTGTCTCATTCCTTGTCTTGGCACCCCAGACACCTGGGGAACCACCACTGCTTCTTGAACCTGTGCATCCAGAACAACTCAGTTCCTTCTCGGGTCCCCAGGGACGCTCTGGGCCTGGCCCTGCCCTGTCCTCACCTCCCTCTGCCTCCCTGGGTCTGCACAAACCTCCAGCCTCTTTCCTGGACGCCAGGGCTGACCTTTCCTCTTCTGGTCCTTTGCATCCGGACCAACCCAGCTCCTCAGTGCAGTCCCCAGGAACTCTTGGGGCCACTTCCCGCCCCCTGCCCCTATCTTCCTTTGCATCACCACCAGCTGCCCTAGACCAGCATCTTTTCTGGGCCAGGCTCCCAGGCCAGTCCAGCCCACAAATTCCTGAGGCCAAAATCTATCCTGGAGGGATCCAGACCTTAGGAGAAAGCCTGAGAGCATCTGATCTCATCTGACTTGGGCCTCTGTGGGAACTCCTGAAGACTAAAGCAACCTGGCCACTCCAATATAAAATCAAAAGAACTGGGAAGCTTAGAGGAACCAGCCCGAAAAGTAAACCACAAAGACACATAAAGTTCACAAAAAAAAGCAGACCTAAACTTGAAGGCCTGAGTCTCACACAAGAATCAGAAACTACAAAAGAAATTCACGTCAAAATCACAGAGAAAAAATAATAACATGAAAAACCGAAATAACATATCCCCACCAAATACCAATAGTCCTCTAGAGGAGTACAGTGAGAACCCCCTAGAGATAATGCAGGACATGGAACTCAAAAGAACAATTATAAACATGGTAAAAGAATTCAGGGAATCTAAAGAACACACAAAAAAGGAAATCAACTAAAGGAAGATAGGGATAAACTTCAGAATGGATTCAGAAAAGTGTTAGAAATATTGAAGAATACTCAGGCTGAAATGAAGAAGGAAGTGAAACACTCAGTAAGCCAATTAGAAACGACAGGAGAAAGCCTCACCAATAGGATGAAGGAAGTGCAAAAAAGAGTATCAAGACTGGAAGATGAGGTGGACGAATTAGACCACTTGAGCAAAGATTATGAAAAATTTAAGTAATCACAGGAATGGAATATGTAGGAATTGTGTGACACCATAAAAAGAACAAACTTATGAATCATAGGCATACAGGAAGGAGAAGACTACCAAGATAATGGCATGGACCATATCTTTAACAGAATCATTGGAGAGTTTCCCAAAATTAAAAAAAGATATGCCCATACAAATACAAGAAGCATATAGAACACCAAACAGACAGGACCAGAAAAGAAACTCTCCACGGCACGTCATAGTAAAAACACTAAACGTACAAAACAAAGAGACAATTTTGAAAGCTGCAAAAGAGAACAAGTCACATATAAAGGAAAACCCATTACAATTACAGCTGACTTTTCAG